AGCTTGTGGGCTTACCAAAAGTGTGACTGAGACAAGTGTGCAGTGCAGGAAAGAGGTGCGGATGGCAGTGGTAAATAAAATAATGGGCGTGCCACGTGCGGAGTAAAATAAGTGTCAGATTCTAAGCGCGCAACCTAGATCCCTCGCATGTGCAGTTCACAGTAGGGTTTGCGCTCCTAAGAGAATCTAATGCCGCTGCTGATCTGACAGGAGGTGGAGCTCAGGCGGTAACGCGAGTGATGGAGAGCAGCTGTTTTCACTCGCTCGCCCGCTGCTCATCTCCTGCTCTGCGGCCCAGTTCCTAACAGGCCACGGACAGGTACCAGTCTGCGGCCTGGGGGTTGGGGACCCCTGATGTAGAGAGTAGCATTAGCCCTTCATCTTAGGATATTTTGTTTTTTTCTGACAAGACCTCTATTTTCAAATGGAAAATGTGTATTAGAAGGATATAAACAAAGGCTTTAACTATCTTCTGTCTGTATAAATATAACCAAGAAAGATAGTTGTCTAAGGGAAAATTTTTCATTGTGTTAGTGTCAAAGTTCTGAAGACAGGAGAATTAGCAAAACACTTCAGAAAAAAACAGTGATTTAGGAATTGGATCCAGATACTCCAGGCCAGGAGTGCAACAAATATGTGATTCAGGGAATGAGATATCATAACTGCTGTTGTATGTGTTACTGAAGAAATAGAACTTTTAGAAGGATATGGGTGTTTCAAAGGATATAAATGAGTATTTCAATCAAGGCGTTCCAATCTGATATTCATGGACTGGGCAGAGCGAGGGTAAGGAGCTAAAATAAAATAGCTTGTTTGCTTCAAACATTTACCTGATGCAGGTAAATCAGTTGAGAAAGATACATGGCATAGGGCCTGGTTACTTGAGGGACTGCCTATCTTGCATAGTATCTGCCCGGCCTATTCAATCTGGCAGGATTGGTGCTCCCTGGGTTCCTTCAGTTAAGGAGTGCCATCTATCAGGACTCCAGACGTGTGCCTTCTCTGTCATAGCACCTGCCCTATGGAATGAGGTTCCCCCCCACCAAGATCTGAACAGCCCCCACCCTGCTGGTGTTTCGAAGAGGCCTGAAGACCTGGCTCTTCGGTGAGCCTTCTTTTAACCTAGGTTGTTTTCTTTTGTTTCCACCTGGTTTGTTATTCTGCCATCTCTACCCTTTTTTGTTTCTTGTTTTTATTGACTTATTTTCATGTTTTAAATCATTTTGTGAACTGCACAGAGTTGCTGGGAGTTGGGTGGTGTATAAATTTAAATAATAATAATAATTCAAGATGCAGCACCTTTTTTTTCTCAAGTTGATGTATCAGTACATGGAATTACAGCCAATAAATGGCAGCTGTAATTTTTTGTGTTCTGCTATGGATTTTTTTTTTGCTTTTCTCAGTTTCTTGGATTCATTCAAGTTGAAGTTAGAATTTGAAGGACAGTTTCCTTCTCTTTAGCTTTAAAGTATGTGTATAGATAAGCCATTATTTAGATCAAAATATATAAGTCAGGGATGATCAGTACATAGATTTGGTACTGGTAGCTCTCTGAGTGTTTGCAGTAGATTAACTGCCAAATGTTCTTGGTTTTGACACTTGGGGAAAAAAATCAAGGTTGGATTTTTGCCAGAGAGGAATTGGTGCTTAATTCTGGTTACTAATTACAAATTCCGAGCCTGAGAAGAGTGTTTAGAGGTGCTTTTTCCTGAATTCTTAGCATGTATTTGCCTGTTAGAGCCACTATCATGTATAACAATCAACTTTTTGACTTCTGGTTTCCAATCAGAAGCAAAGTAGACCATGGAATCTGAGATCGGATCATCCCGTATATGATGGTATGGCAAGCATGTGCCTGCCTCATCCATGCAAAAAGTCAGTCATGTATGTTTGCCAGTCTCCCTCACCAAATTCCACGTCGGGAGCTGAGGAAAACATAACAGGGCAACCATATTTCTCATGCATCTTTTTTTACTGACTCCTAATACAGGAAGGGAAGGATCTCAGTTTTATAAAACAACATAAAACATTTTGTGTGGGGGGGGTTGTCTGTTGTGCAAAGTAAATTGTGAGAAACCATCTATCACAGGAGTGAGGAGAAAAATTAGAAATATTCTGGTGCACAAAGTCCTGAAGTTCAACATGAGATCACATTAAAAGGCATTTGAGTACATTTCCATTCTGCAACATAAAAAGAAAATTTAAATAGCACTTAGATATTGATACAAATGGCAAGTGTCAGTTAAAAGTGGACACACAATTAAAATTTGCCTAGATGGCTTGTAAACAGTTTAAATTGTTTATATTCATAGTACCTAGAGGAAGAATGAGGCTTGAAGTACATTGTTTATTAAAACACAATGTTTTATTTATTTATTTATTCATTGATTTTATATGGCCGCTCATCTGCATCTGGTGGTAGCCTTTCTTTCTTTGTACTCAGAATGCATGACATGTAAATTAAATGACACAGTATGTAAAGCAGCGTAAGGCAGTATATAACTTGTTTAAATGTATTTAAACAGTTTATGCCCAGATTAAATATGCATATTTTGAAATAATGTCTAAATTAATCTAGGACTTATTAGTCTGATGATGTTAACGTGTTTTGTTATGGAAAGGAAAAGAGAAGTTTCATGCATTTCTTTTGGCAAACTACTACAATAAAATATTGTTTCAATATTTAAAGACAGCCTGATTCTTACATATTCCTCCTTCCTTCTTGCTTTTGTAATATGTTTCAGCAGTGCCAGTCATTGACCAACTGAATACGATCTTTAGGAACAAAGGGGTGCATGGCTAATGAGGAGTTGAACTCCTTGGCATTGGGAGAGAGGCCTCCTGAAGGAAAACATGGTTGAAGAGGGTGAAGCTTTGAAAATGACATGTTGTAGGTTGGCTTTAGGTGGGTTAATGTAATGGTATGTGGGAATGACCTTGGGAGACAGGAGGAAGAGCCATAGACTGGACAACTGTCATGTAAAAGATATCTCTGTCCATAGAAGCGGGGTGGGTGGGTGCTGGGAAGCATTTTAGAAAGGCCACTCCCTAGTTTCCTGGAGAGTAAAAGTTGCGGGGGGGGGGGGGGTAGAAAGTACTTTCAGTCTTGCAAGATTCTGTTAATGTAATCTTACAGTAAAGATAGAGTTGATACTCATAGTTTTGCTTCTTCTCTGGGCTACTTTGAAGGACTAACAGTTAATTAAAAAGGACTTAAATGCTGAGCTGGTATTGAAGTATTATTGAACACACGAGAAGTGTTTTTTGTATCACCGAGATTGGTACCTTGAATATAACTGAGTGGCATCTCCATTAAGAAGAATGTCTTAAGTGAAATTACTTTTGCAAAAAGGAATATGCACCTTTTGGTTAGAGAACACAGTAAATGACCCGGCTCCAACTAGTCATGTATTCATCCAGGGGTAGGGAATGTGCCATATAAATTCTGTAATTACTCCAAACTTCTTTATACTTTAGGATGAAATTTCTGACGTTAGCCAACCAGGGTCCAAATCTACTACACCAATCTTAACTGCTGCTTCAGATGTGCTTAAGTCTGCTGAGTCTCCCCTGAATGAAGACAAGGAAGGCCTTGCAAAGAAGTCTGATTCATGGAACCAGAAATTGGATATAAGCAAGCACATTGAAGTGCAGGTAGCCCAAGAAACGAGAACTGTGTCCATTGGTAAGTTACTAGAGTATTCACATTTTGAGTAATTTAATATTTTGAGTAATTTAAAATCCATAGTGTTTATCTGCCCCTACAGGGTTCCAGAATTAATAAATACTTAGAGTGCTACACGTATTCCTCATAGGAAGACAGCCTCATTACAGAAAGCAGCAGAAATTCATGTAAAGATGGCCTGATTAATCACAAATGAACTTCAGTATATTTACAAAATATAAGATGATTAAATAACCATTGTTCTCATGTTTAGTATACGATCAGCTAAGACTACATTGTTACATTTAAGGATCTTTATGCTGTTAAAATATTATTTTCTGTATGAAAGAAGTGTTACTTAACTCTTTTATATTTAGCAAACATGGTATGTGAGAAGTGACCATTAATTTAGAAACTAACAGTTTCTCCAAAAGATACTGTGGCCGGTGTAGTATAATGATTTTATGTGTTGGACTCAGACTACGCAAAGCTGAATTTTAGTTCCTATTTGATCATGGAGCTCACTGTGTCATATGGGGCCAGTTACTCTCTCTCACCCTTACCTAATTCACAGGATTATGTTTTTGGGTTAAAATGAGGGAAGATCCTATATATGCTGCCTAACTCTATCTAATATTCCCTGTTTTTGACAAATATTTACCCATTTCTTTCCAAGGATCTAATGAAAATGACGACAAATCTGAAGTTCAGGCAATCATTGAATCCACTCCAGAGCTGGATATGGATAAAGATCTTAGTGGATATAAAGGTTCAAGGTATTTTGCCAGCAATTTTCAGTCACCAGAGAACTTAGGAAAAATATGAATATTACAACAGAGTTCTGTAGCTCTTTTGTAGTCATTATGGCAAATGACCAATCTCTTGAGCAATACTTTGCAGAGGGTGCCTAGGAAAGTCAGTAGTAGTGTTCAGGCATTCTGTGGTACTCAAATTTTCCATTGCTAATCTGGCACAAAAATCCTTCACCGACCATGAAGGACAAAACAGTATTTTGGGCAGTAGCCATCACCCAAGGTCTCCTGGGGGTTAAGGGTAGCATGTCAGATTGTTATTCTTATTTCCACCTGCTTAGCACAGAGGAAGAAATTGCAGTGTGCAGCACCTGAAGGAATGAAAAGGACTAACCTGTTATGGTGGCAGTGTGGATACAAAACTGTCAGGAAGAAAGGGGAAGAATTAAATGAATCAGAGGAGCCTGTAACCATGTGAACACCAGTGTTGTGGAGGAGGAAACAGTTCCCTGATTAACATGCCTGATTCTTCTGCATCCAACCAGGAAAAGAGAGAGAAGGAGAAAAAGAAAAGGGAGGGTGATCGATGGATGTCTTGTCTTGCTTTATCCTTCTTAAATCATAAGCCATTTATTATGGCATAAATTTTTATGGACTAGAGTCCGCATTGTCCAATCCTTGAATGTGTGCACATTTGCACACTGAGGTCTAGACTGGAAAGATCTTTTTTAAAGATTTAATTCTCACTCTCACATTTGAATTCTGTTGTGTAGCACTCCTACCAAAGGCATAGAGAACAAAGCATTTGATCGTAACACAGAATCACTCTTTGAAGAATTATCTTCTGCTGGCTCTGGTCTGATTGGGGATGTGGATGAAGGAGCAGACTTGCTGGGTGAGTATTTTTTTAAAACATTTTTAAAGCAGTTTAGAAATGGTAACACAATTGTTACAGGATAGGTCAAGGATAAAGTTAAAAGAAAAAAGTACTAATGATATTTCTATACATAATTTGCTTAGTAAATAGAGTTGAAAGCATTAACTATTTACCATGGATCTCTGATTTTCTCATTTGTTAAATCTCTAACAGAGAAATCATATTTATGTCTGCACTTACTTATTAAAAAAAAGGGTTGCTGGGGAAAGAAATAGAGTGAAATAGTAATATCCATTAGCAACCAATCTTCTGTCCAATAATCTGGGAGACTTACAGCCCAAATAGCGTGTAGTTAATGGTGGTCATGTTTTTTATTTCACCATGGTGAGATTCTCTTAATCACAGGTTAAAACTTCCATTGCGTCATTATACTTTTGGTGGCTATTGATATGTGTTAGATGAACATCCCTAATATTTTACATTTTTACAAACTTATCATTCAGTCTGCCTCCCTCCTCCTCCTGTCTTATTTTGCTTGTGTGGGTGAGGAAGGAATCTTCTGGAGGATAAGCAGAAGAGAAAGGAAGCAGTTTGTTTTAGGAAATCTGTAACTTTTCACCTGTAAGAGTACTTCCTAGGTGCCTTTTCTATCTCGGAATTAATGGGGAAGTAATGTTTCCCCCTCTTTTAGAGCTTAAAAAAAAAAAGTGCTTTTGACATAATTAGTTACTACCTTGGAGTGGGGAGCGCCTTAAAGACCTGGTTGTTCCTCTAGGCCTAGGGTGGCTAGAGCACCCTCTGCTGGATGTTAGATGTTGATGGGATGTTTTAGGGTGTCCATTGGGTTTGCTATCTTATTCTTCTTTCTTTTTCTTCTGTTCTATTTGGTTTTGTTGTTTGTGGTTTCTTATTATACTGTTTTATACTATTTGGTGTATTGTGAACTGCCTAATGTATTTGGAGTTGGGTGGCATCAGACGGAACAAAATAAAATAAACAAATGTTTACCTTAAAATGCTGAGAGGGTTTTTTTGAAGTAACATGACTTGATCTGGGGTGTGTGTGAGTTCTTCCTTCTCCAAATATTTCTTGGTGGAGGAAGATCCCCCACCCCAAATTCACGCAGATAAGACACTTTCCTCTATTCATTTGAAAGTGTGTTTCTGTGCCAGTGTGCAGGGAGGGAAATCTTTACTTGCAGAAAAACCCTACCTTTCCTTCCTTCCTCTCTTTCTTTTCTACTTCTCTGTATAATTTAGCTTGTCTCCCCCAGGTTCTGTTTGCTTAAAATAGAACACAAAAGAGGAAAGGAGATACTCCCAATGCTTTGTGACTTGTCCCATTCCACCAGTAGTCACTTTGTCTGATGCCGACACCATTCCTGCACTTTTCAAAAATGAGACTTTGGGGCCATTAAGCCTGGTCCTATAATAGATGTAAGCTTTCATATAGGCACTTCTTTCCTTCTGCTTTCTTTTTCTGTGTAACCATAGTGGCACCTGATTACTATGGTGTTATTGCTGTTTCAGGAAGTGGGGAGGGTCTTTGATAAGGGGAGAGATGACTCTAGTAGACGCATACAAAAGGTTAGGGATATCTTAGAGACTGCAACAACTTCACTTTTATATCTAAACAGGTAATTTTAAGAGTATGTTTAAATAGATCACTAATGCGGTATTTTATTAAAGGGGATCAGCAGGCATTCCATCATTTGTAATACTGTACCGCTCAGCCGTAACTATGGATTAATTACTCTAGCAAAGACCTGTTTTTGTTTTGTTTTTGGATAGTGTGTTTTGTAGAAGTAGAGCTGCCAACGTTTGTAATGTATTTCTACAGAAGCCCGACTGTATTCAGTCCGAAGGAAACACATTTTATATGAAATGCTTTGTATTAGTAATTTACTGTGCTGTGTTTTGGCATGCTTCTGCAACATTAGCTAAATTGGATTCTCCAATTTGCTTTCTCTTGGGCTGCGTACCCAGGAGAATATTCTGGTGTGTATCCTTTTTATATATTTGAAAGTGATTGTTTTGAAGTTCAGCATTCTTGGCTGTCGCTTTCACGATGTTTGTTTTGCAGTTTGTTTTGTCTCTACCCTGCCTGGTGCTTTTAAATTTATTTTGCCTGATAATTTTTCTCTAGTCGGAATACCAACAGTTAAAAGCGTTCAAATAACTGAAACAGTTCCCTCCTCCAAACAGAAGTATTCTAAAAACCCAAACTTTGACCATTCATTAAAAAAAGTAGTCTTCCTTTCTATGGTACTGATCCAAATTCTGCCAGTGCAAACATCAGCCATGCAACCGTGGGGAAATGGTTGGGAATAAGCACATGGCAAGGAGTAATCCTTCTGAAACCATTTCCATTATTCCTTGAACTCTTCATGCAGGACAAAAGGCTGTTTTCTAATCTTTGAAACCTACACAAACAGGAAACACGTTGTAGGATGCAAGCTACAAATGCTGGCTAGTTGGAGGACATAAAGAATAGAATGTAATAATGCTACCCTGCTGGAATGGCCACAGAGTGTTCCTGCTATCCACACAGAAAGCCCAGAAATAATACACTGGGGATTTTTTTTTAATCTGCGGACCTGAGCAGTACTTTGAGTGTGTCTTATAAAACAAGCTCCTGTCCCTTTTATTTTTTTTCCATAGTGCAGTCAGTTGTTCATGTATCAGAGGATCAGATATTTAAAAAAAATTGTACTATTTGCATGAGAATTTCAAAAGCTTGTTTTTGCCTTGCTCCACTAACTTTCTGCACAACTCCAGTGTGCTCACAGAACATCCCTCCCTGCAAGAATCTCCCTGTTCATTTCAGTCAAGAGGGAAATTCCTGGTGTACAAATGTAATAAACAACAGGCGCCCCGTTTGCTCTGGAAGTTCTTCAAAGTTATGTGCTTTGAAGTGTAGGCGAGGCTTTTGGTGAGGATAGTAGCTTTATTGAAGCCTTAAATGCTGTATTTGTTGATCTCATTTTACATCGTTTCATGTATATGCAGAAATACCATGTCTTTTCCTACTTTTATCCACATTTTATGAGGCCGGTTTTTCTAAAGCTAGTGTAAAACCACTGACGTTCCCAGTAGTCTTTTGCTGGGCCTTTTAAGAGATATTATTAATAGCTTCTTTTATTCATAGCTATATTAAATGTGGATGGGTGTACATGTGGATAACTGCCAATTACCAACCCAAAATTATTAACCTATGATTAGATTTGTGTAAAAAGGCCCAACTTAAAATACTGGTTTTTCATACTGCATGCTTTCAGAAGATAATTCTTGTAATAACTGGTAGTCTTCACTATTTTTCATTCCATTGAAGTATATGCAATTTTGATACAACTAAGGTAGAAAAAATAAAGATAAAGGAGACTTTAATGATTAAGCGCATGTTCTATATGGAGAAGGTTAAGTATTTTTTACTTTAAAAGAATTGGAGTGCAATACAATGTTTAAAACATTAAGCATGGTTAGAATAAGTTGATGAGGTTTGGAATGACTTGTTAAGGGGTGTTTTTTGTGTGGAATTATCTTGGAATCACCTCATTAAACTGAGTACCATGGCAGTAATTTAATTGTCACGTTTATTTAAAAGATTCTAAAGGAGCTTACTGAGGGAAAAGCAAAAGAGGACAGGTGGCCCATAGCTCACTTTTGAATTCATTTGCATCAAAGGTAGCAATGACTGCTATTATAAGCTCTGATAGTGCAATGGGAGCTGATTTTAAGAGTGGTCTTAGCTTACGAGGGGGGGATGTTCTCATTTTCAGGCCTCTTGTGGTCTTTGGGGAGATCTCTGGCAGGCTGCTCTGAGAAGCAGAAGGCTGGATTGGATGGATCCTTGATCTAGACATGGCTCTCTTTTAACTGTTTGTCTTGCTGTTGTACGTTATCTTGCTTCAGACATTTAATGTTGGCTTTGCCCTGAAATCACTCATATCTCACAAATTCTTAGCCTTCACTGTTCTGTACTTCACCTTTACTGTTCTCATTACATATTTCTTCTTCCTTTTGCTCTTCATGGGATGCATGGGCTTTAAAGACCATAATTTCTTTGGTAAGGCATCGTCTCATTTGAGGAACGTTTGCAAGGGCTTTCCATTATTTGAGCTTATTCAACATTTCTCGTGGTGTCACCTATTTGAGTATGAAATTGCATAATATAAAGTGTTCTAAGAATTTCTGTTGTTCTACTGTGGTTACCAGCTGAAATCAGATTTATTTTGTTTTATGTGCTTGGACTGAAAAGTATTTTGCCTTGGTCCCTTGGGTTCCAAAAACCTCCATACTGAACTCATTTAAAACCTAACAGCAAAATACTTTGTATTTGAAAACCCTTTTCTGATCAGTAGTTATGATCATAGTGCTCTGATAGCAGAACTTCTCTGCCTGTGAAATTCTCTTGCATTTCTGCACACATTTTTGTAAGTTTGTAGGAGAATTCCATTGAAATGAATGAGATGTCCTACTTGTGCAGTAGAATTATGTGAGCTGCAGAGCACATGCTGAATATGCTGATCAGCGCATATACCCTGGGTGTCTAACACTTGCAGTTGTCATTTCAGTGTTTTAATATTGGTTTATTCTCTACAATTTTTGAAAGGAATGGGACGTGAAGTTGAAAACCTTATCTTAGAAAATACACAACTACTCGAAACCAAGTGAGTAATCATTTTTCAACTTCTAAATAAACTAACCTGTTTCTTTAATTAAGCATGACGTTGCATGCCTGGAATTGTGGTCTGATAAAGGATATAATCATTTCCCATAAGTTTTGTGTTTGTGCATGTGTGTGTAAACATACATACTGTATATACATGCATAGAGTTTGGTGAAAGACACATGGTAATTGATGTAGTGTTTTGAACCTTGATATAGAGTGAATAAAATATTTATAGAGCTGTAGAATGATAAAAGACTTGGAAATCCGAATACTGGAGGCAGTTTCATTCAGTTGACTGACAGTAGTTTCAGGGCAATCAAAAGGGATTTTCATTTATTGAAATCCATATAGTTTGTGTAATACATAGTGATATTCATTGCTGTTGGGTTGTTGACTTAAAGAAATATCACTAGTTATGCACTAAGAATTGAGCATCCAGTTTTAAGACTATTGATTCTGATTACCATATCCTAAGTAAAAACAATAAGAGGTGACTTTCATCTGAAGTTTTTGCTTCTGAGAATATCTAGTTTGTGCGTGCTATTTGTGATTACAGCTGAAGACAAAAGACGGAGGTTTGGCTCAAAGCCCCCAATTCTTTCATATGCGTAGTAAGATTTGAAATGATGATTTTACTTCAGGCCATTACACTGTACCAGGTGTTTGTTAAAAAAGTCCTTTATGACATATGTTGGCTTCACCTAGCAAAATGATAGATTACAAAAAAATTATCATTTTTGCTTATGTAGAAAATGATTTATTGTATTTATTGCTATGATGAAAACAAATCTGAGAGTGACTTTATTTCTATCACTGAATAAGGTTAGAACTGATCTAATTACAAATATCTGTATTCTAGAAATGCCTTGAATGTGGTGAAGAATGACTTAATAGCAAAAGTTGATGAACTAACATGTGAAAAGGATGTGCTAAAAGGAGAATTGGAAGCTGTAAAACTAGCCAAACAAAAGCTTGAAGAGAAGAATAAGGAGCTGGAGGAAGAGCTTAGAAAGTGAGCATAAAAATCTTGAATGTGTTACAGTGAGTTTCCTAAAAGAATTCTTGGATTAATTTCATTAATCCCTCTTGTTTAGAGCCCGAGCAGAAGCTGAAGAAGCAAGACAAAAAGCAAAGGAAGAGGATGATGTATGTAATTATAGTAATGCTGTTGGATCTAAATTTTCTCTTACTTGTACAGTACTACTGTGGGATTGATCCTCCTAGCTTTCCATGGCATTATTGTAGAGAAGTGCGGACTTATATGTTCCTTTCATATGCCAGTCCTGGAACTTAATCTGTATTGGGGAGTAAAACGTAGAGATTCTGGAAGATGTTCAAATAACCGGCTTTCCCCCCTTTGGGCCCAAAGCAGTCATGAGTGCCTTTTCCCTAACCGCTGTAATATTCACGCTTAACTGTAAAGTCCTGTACTGTAAAAACTGTACGAGACAGGCCTTTGTGCTTCCCAGTCTGCTTGATTAAGCACACTTGCTATCTTCTCAACTCTGCACAGAGTGATATTCCTACTGCTCAGAGGAAGCGATTCACGCGTGTTGAGATGGCCCGGGTCCTCATGGAACGAAATCAATACAAAGAGAGGCTGATGGAGCTTCAAGAAGCAGTGCGATGGACTGAGATGATAAGGCAAGTGCAGTTTATGATTAAAGTTGCAATGCCTGATAAATGCATGACCCTGGTATCTTTTCCTCTAAAGTAATAGATGGATTGCTAATAAATGCTTCCTGTGCTTTGAAAATGTAATTAATACTTTGTTAACATTGTGGACAGATTAAACAAGCCATATGCTTTTTGTTTGCTATGCATGAGAAGAACACTTCATTCTTTATTTTAAAAGCAATTATCTATGTATTTGTTTTTTTGAAAAAAAAAATTCATGAAAGGAATCTGTTTTTTAAAAAAATGTTGAGCACTGTTAAAGACTAATGGAATTATTACGACATGTGTTTTTGTGGTGTTTTTAGATTTTTAATGCAGTTCTTAAGAAATCAACATCAACAGAGATGACAGCTGGTTTAATTTTTGTAGGCAAACCTCCACCAAAGAACAAGATTAATTTTTCTTAAGGTTTCTAGAAAATGAATTGAAAAGCATCTCAATAATAACAAAACAAATGGCATGTGGAAGCTTGCTGCGAGAGCAACAGATAAAACAGTCCAGATTTTATAAGCATCTCCTGTTACTTGCTTTGACTATGTTTAAGGACTGTTCTGAAGGCCTTCAGAAATGTGTGTGTGTGTGTGCCTTCAAGTTAGTGTTGACCCCTGGTGACTGCCTGGATAAGTCTGCAGTTTTCTTGGTAAGATTTCAGAAGTAGTTTGCTATTGTCTCCTTCCTAGGGCTGAGAGAGGGTGACTGGCCCAAAGTCATCCAGCTGGCTTCAGGCCTAAAGTGGGACTAGAACTCACAGTCTCCCAGTTTTTAGCCTGGTGCCTTAACCACTACACCAAACTTGCTCTCTCTTCAGAAATGAGCTGTGAAAAATTGCATGGGTGTCGAATAGAGGGAAAAGAATGGGTTTTATTATTTTATCTAACTGTTGAAGAGGTAGAAGATGGAAAGAACAAGAAGTAGGAAAGTTGTTGAAGAAGCAGCAGAAAAAAGTCAAGATGTGAAGAAGAATAGCAGAGTGGGAAGATAAGGGAAAGAAAGAATGGAATAGTTAATTTTAAAGCTGAAGTAGAGGAGGTACTTGGTACTTAGAAACTTGATTCAGTTTCTATTGTGGGAGAAGACTAGTTTCTTAATAGGTGTTACGATTCTTGGGAGGGATACCACTGAGAAGCAGCATATCATTCATAGAAAATTGGCCTAAAGCTTGCTTTTTGTGAATGAAATTGTTTCAAGTTTAAAACTGGCTGAGTTGATATTATAACTACAGCGAGACAGCTGACATGATGACTCTAGGATTAGACTACTGATTACAGCTATGTTTCTGGTGTGACAGAGGCTTGACATGGAGGCAGGAAAATAGTAGACTCTGAACCTTACCTGGTCCAGTTGTACGTTAGGCTGGCCTTGGCATTGTTGGATAGTGCTAAATATGCATGTGTGAGCCATAAAACATTCATTATAATTTTCAGAGCACAGATCAGTTAGTGCTGGCCATGCACACACACACATGTGTGTCTGTGTAGGTGTAACTTTTTGGACTTCAGATTAATTTTGGAAAAAACCCTACATGATGAACAACCCAAAGAGGTGGTGGTTCCTCTTCATTGGATGTGCTCAAGTGAAGGCTATGCAGCCATCTGTCTGTGAGGCTTTAATTTAAATTCCCACACTAAGCAAGGGATGCACTTGATGACCTAAACATCTGTCCATTTCTGGGATTCTATGACAAATCTGTGGATTAAACATTTGTCCCACTTATTGAATATACAAGACCATCTGTTTTTAACAGCAGAGGTGTTGGGATGCCCTTCCACCATCTCTATTTGGCTCTTCTCAGCTCCCTTCTGAGCATGAACTTTTTTGCTGTTTTTTAAAAAAGGACCCCTCCTGTGGTATCCAGTTGTGGGAGTGTGCCTTCAAGTCAGCGTTGACTCCTGGAGACTGCCTGGATAAGTTCCTGCAGTTTTCTTGGCAATATGTTAGAAATAGTTTGCCCTTGCCTCCTTCCTAGGGCTGAGAGTGACTGGCCCAAAGTCATCCAGCTGGCTAACCACTACACCAAACTGGCTCTCTCCAGTTAGTTTGAGCTAACTTTTTAAAACTTCTGCTTAAGGTAAACTACATTTACCATCCTGTTTTGCTGCCATCTAGTGGCCTAATATATTACTGATTTTTTTGCACTTAGTTTTTACAGAAAAAAACAATACGTTTTTGTGATTAGACTGAATTATTTTGCATGAGACAAATCTTCAGTCACATTCTGCAGCAGACCAAATTTATTTTGCTCTCATGTAGCAGGTATACTTTCAACCTGTAAGAGTGATTACTTGCTATTGTTGTGAAATTAGTTCTTGTATTGGACTAGTGGTTGCTTTTGTTTTCATAGGACATAAATTAAATATAAGGGGGAATACCTCAGTGCACAGATGTTGATTTTCTTAAATAATGTCATATCCTCATGTGCAACTGTGGTGTTTTATAGTTCTGTCTAAATCTCAAATTCCTTTTCATAATTTGGAAAATTGTTACTGTGGCTTTACTTATACAAATGCCAGCGTGTCTCCAATGGCATGAAATGCTCAAATGTAAGAGATTTTATAATCTGTGCTTTTTATTTTTTTCTCTAGGGCATCAAGAGAAAATCCAGCCATGCAAGAAAAAAAGAGATCAAGCCTTTGGCAGTTGTAAGTATTGAGATATAAATATAAATACTCGCATTTATTAAAAATAATATGCTCAGTCTTCTAGGGTCTTTTTAGTAGTAATGGGACTAATGACTGCACATCTATTTTCTTTCATTGTCTAGTATGCCGGCCAGGTAAGACTGATGTTAAAGATGAATTATATTGTAAGATGCATCCTGAAACATTGGTTATGCACTTGGCAGAGAAACATAATTGCCTTTCTCTAATTGTGGCACTTTTAAAACCACCATGTAGTTTGCATACATATTGATTTCAGTCCACCAAACCTATTTGAGGGAAGTTCTAATTTTTGCTTATGGCTCTGATTAATACTAAAGCTGAAATTACTAAAATTGTACATGAGAGATTGCTTGACTGTCCTGTGTCCTCAGAGCTTTTATTTTATTTTTGTGGGGAATAATTTAGGAATATTTGGTTGATGAAAGTGTTATGAGTTGACAAAATTGCAGGGCTCAGCTGCTGAAGATTCAGAATCCTACAGGATTGTGTCTTCATAATAATTTTATTGCAACTCATGTTGTACATTCTTGCCTTCTGCTGTAGTGTTGGACTGATCTATAGAGATTGTAAATCCCTAGTACTAGGACTGATTTATGAACATTATAATCTGGTATGTTTGGATATATATCCATTGATTTTAGGTTAATTGGATATATTTTGGGTAGCCTATGTTATTACAAAAAAGAGAGATGAAAGCAATATTTATTTAAAAAGTAGGCGAAAGAAACAAGAGATGGGAAAGGAGCAATCTTCAGTAGGAACCTAAAAGATGTAACAGTAGGCACTTCATGAATTTCACAGGTTGAGTGCGTTCTCAAGTGCAGGACCCAGAGGAGGCTGTTCTGTGAGGAACTGCAAGTTGGCCCTCTGCCAGCCTTGTTATACAGAGCTGGTCTTCCCCTGATTATTTTAGTAATCAACCAGGACAGTCATAGTAGAAGGTGGTCTTGATATATTCTGGTCCCCAAATTTCTAAATTATATTAATGTTAGTAGTTTCATTGCTAGAAGTGTACTATATACATATAAGGGAAGTTGAAAAGCCTTTACAGGTAGTCCTAGGGTTACAACCCTAACTGGGACCAGAATTTCTGTCGATAAGTGAAGTGGTCATTAAGCGAAACATTACTGCAGTCCCAGTTGCAGTTGTTAGGTGAGGACCTCATGTTTCTCCTGCCCTGTGCGAACTGCCTTCACTTCAATTCCACCCCCCGCCTCTGTCCTCCCCCAAGTCTCTGCCCTTTTGGCTGTCCTGCACACATGGCCAAGATGAAGAGACCACTGTATTCTGCCACTGCCACCTGCCTACTGCCCCTTCCCTTCCCTTCGCTTCCCTTCCCTTCGCTGACTGAGACTGCTGAAATGGGGCAAGCCCACCAGGAGCCTGGTGGCTGGGGAGGCGGTGGCAAGGGGCAGAGGCGAGCCCCGTGCTGACAGAGCCCTGAGCCGTGGAGTTTGGGGCCAGCTGGCGTCAGCAAGCCCAACAGAAGGGAGGCGAGACAAAGATGACGGTCAGCAGGGGGTAGCAGCGGTGGAATACAGCCGCCTCTTCATTTTGGCAGTTTGCTCAGGGCAGGAGAACATGACTGCAGGACACTATGACAGTCATAAATGTGGGCTGGTCACCAAGCACCCAAATTTTGATCACGTGACTGCAGGGACACTGCAATGGTCATATGTACGAGGATCAGTAGTAAGTCCATTTTTAGCACCATCGTAACTTTGAATGGTTGCTGAACGAATGGTCGTAACCTGAGGACTACCAAAATTATCAGGGGCCAGGGTCTTACAATTTTTGATGACTGGCATCATCTTTTTGTGCATCCCTAGAGAAAACTGTTCCTATTTTTAGAACTAAATTTTTAGACATCTGGCTAGCCTTCAGCTCTGCTCTATACATTTTTGACTTGAAAGTGTATGGCTTAATTCTGATGAGCTTTATAACTATTTCCTAATGGTGTGGCTGTGTTGGACAGTGAATGGCTCTTCTTTTCCGCTATTTGTACTTCTGCCCTGCTTTGAGTAGGGCACTGTGTGGAGTGCACATGCACATGTGAAACTTTTATGACCAAGAGGCTGTCTGTACTTATGTATTCAAGTGCTCTTGCTTTTTTTTTCCCTCCAGTTTTAGCAGATTATTCAGTTCATCAGCCAACACTGCTAAGAAACCAGAACCACCAGTTAACGTTAAGTACAATGCACCAACGTCACATATTACTCCTTCAGTCAAGAAAAGAAGCAGCACCTTATCTCAGCTACCAAGTGACAAATCAAAAGCTTTTGATTTCCTTAGTGAAGAGTAAGTTGTATTTTCTTCATGGAGTAAAAAATGTGCAGGCAGAACTTACCAACTCTAGTAGTAACACCAGCATGGTCAATATACTTCTGATGATTTGGCTTTGCACTCTGGGTATGTCTAGACTTGTATTTGTGCTGAATGCTGAGGGGGTGTCAGTGCCTCTTCCCAGCTTGAGTTTGTTGCACCAGTTATGTGTCTTCTTGAGGTCAAACCTGGCCATGGTGACATATGCCTTATTTACCTATAAACTGGATTATTGCAATTCAGGCTACCCTTGAAGGGTAGAAACTGCACCTAGCCCAGAATATAACACTGAAAAGGCTGGTGGGCATTTTCATAAAGGATTATAGTCCTTTAAGTCCCCCAAAGGCTCTATTCCTTACCAGTTTCCAGCCATAATTCAAAACATGGGTAATGGTGGATTTTAAAAGCATAAAAAAACTTAAGATGGAGGGTACCCTAGAGACCAAATTTTTCCAGACCGGTCTGTTTGTGCAGTCAATTGTCTGATGGAGAGAGACTTTTCTCTCTGTTCCAGTTGACAAAGACAGTGTCTTCTTTGGTGGTCAGGTAAAACAATAGAATTCTTTATGATGGAAAACTAGTTGGATAATTTCTAGATATTCTGTTGTAAAGTCACATTTATTTAGGAAGTTGTTTGTTTTATTGGTGTTTGTTTTTATTGTGTGTCATTATATACATGCTCCACTTACCACTACACCTTCTATACTGCGTGCACAATTATTAGGCAAGTTGTATTTTTGAGGATGAATTTCATTATTGAAC